TCACAGCGGATGCTGGCCAGCTCCTCCTCTACAGAGTTAATCTGCCCTTGGATTTGTTGCAGCAGGCAGCCATAGCGAGATTCGGTTTCTGCCAAGGAGTTTTCCAGAGAGGTTTTCTGGAAGTGGAAGTGCAGGAGTTTAGGACCAGAGCTCTACCCCTCCCTGCCCATTCCAAGGAGGGAAGGGCCCTCAGCCATCCTGCCCCACATACCGTGCTGAGCTGCGCCTGCAGTTCGATCTCCAGGTTCTGCATTTCGCGTCTCAGTTCAGTGAGCTGGTGGCTGCTTGTCTGGATGTCCTGGCTGCTAGAAGTGACCTGCCGATTGACTTCTTCAATCTGCGGGAGTCAAACCCCAAACACACTTTCTGAGTGAGAAAAGCCCCTCAGGGAGCAGATTTGCTGACTGAGAACTAAGATAGCCAGGGAGCCTCTCCCTTTCATCCTGTCCTCGTCGAGGACAGCCTAGTCATTGCTCCGTAGATCCTGACGTTCCACCCACCTTTGCACATCAGACCTGGCCTGCTCCCCCTCTGCCACTGCAGTCTTTCCCCAGCAACTCTTTCCTTCCCATTCCCCAGCTGTGCCAGTGAGGTGCAAGTGAGCAGCGTCCCCCTTTTAGCCAAAGGCATTGCGTGCCCAATACCAGGATGGCTGGTTTTTCCCCCAGAAGGAGACTCCACTTTGTGCATTGCTACGTACCTTGACTTCATACCACTGCTCAACCTCTCTGCGGTTCTTCTCGATGATCTGCTCGTATTCGTTTCTCAGGTCGTTCAGTATCTTTGTCAAGTCTTCGCCAGGGGCAGCATTGACCTCCACGCTCACATCGCCACCAGATTGAGACTGCATCTGTCTCATTTCCTGCAGAGAGTCCAAGGAGAGAAACAAAAGAGCACAGGTCATTTCTTCTGTTGGGGACAGTGGGCAAAGCAGTATCAAGGTACAAAGGAATGACAATCACATGACATAAGGCTGAATTGGCTTGATAGGTAACTTTGGGAACCCTGAAGAATCAAAGGACTATGTCTTGGCCATGCTATTTATCATGGGATCGTACCTCCTCATAATTTCTCTTAAGAGCAATCAGCTCATCTTTCAAGGACTCTAGCTCGGA